GTTGGTTTCCATACGTATCCCCGTTTATCTTCTGCATCTCCGAATGAACAGCAACGATACATGTTTAACTTGATTTGTCCTGAAATAATAAAGTATCTTTACCAACGCTTATGTTAATAACTCGGCGATACGTTTTATTTATTTAACTTCTCGCTATACAATTCAATACACAAGGATCAGGTTTTACGAACATATGATCGAATTTATTTCTAACATTGTTTCATCATTGTTCAGACTTCTTTTATTACTTAAAATAAGATTATCGCATTGATCTTTATATTCTGCTTGTAGAAGAGAACATGATAAAACTTTTCATTTCAAACTTTATCTCTCTCGCGAGATGAGAAAACGAGATAAGATAAAGAAAGAAAAAGGTACAGAAAGAAAAATTGTTTAATAAAAGAATTCTTAAAATAATCTCTGTAGCTATTTGGATAACGAAATATCATCTAGATTAATAGTTTGAGACTACTGCATAGAAAGGATATATATGTATAACGTATGATGTTTATTTTTTATGTCATGCTTATATCTTTCTGCTCTTATTTCTAACATGTTAACAAAAACTTCTCCAACAAATTTAATTCTGTTTTCAGCAAAAATCTAATAGTCATTGATATTTCCTTGATTGTTTCAATTCTTAACGTCGAGAGTATCTTTCAGCCAATATCTCGAACGAAGTGCTAATAAAAAAATGTTTTACCTGAGATGAAGTTCACTCATATGAAACTAATTCGATCCTTTCTTTTTCTTTCTTTTATTTTTTCATGTCAAGAATTTCTGACAACATTTACGTAGATACCGAGTGATTTGAAAAAACTTCCGTTGAAAGTGTATAAACAGTAGCGAACGAAATAATGCACCCTGGTGCGGGACAAGGTTTCAGTTGCTCTTAAGGGTAAGTGTGCACTACGCCTGTTTACACTTCAAATTTCCATGGAATGGCTTCCAGTTGATGCAAGGAAGCATATCATCTATTAGTGTCGTCCTGATAGAAGTCATTAACCTCACCTTTTATCTACACGGAAAAATTATTGTTAAATTATTAGGGGGTTGCATTAAAAGCCGCTGTTTTTTCCACTCAAATATATGTAAAAAACAGCGGCTTTTAATGCAACTCCTTAATACATATTTAAAAATATTTTTAGCTGGATATACAGATCTGAAAATAATTTTCTTGAGGTCCATTAAAATAATTATGTAGGATGCTTAAACTGAAATTGCCAGAATGTTAAAATTTCTTATAGCATTGTCATCAAGCGTTTAAGCATTCTGTAGATATAATTAGTTTAATGATCTAAACAAAATTATTTTTAGATCTGTTATCTACAGCTAATTTTCAGCAAAATTCTTTTTGAGAGGAAACTAAATATCCTGGATTTTGAATCAAATATGTACATGACAAATGTGAAAATGTTTTTTCTTTAGCTCTCGTGGGATTGCTTCAATTGTTAACTCCTATGGCTACCTCTCTCTCTCTCTGTTGTTGCGACTATTGTTAATTGATATCTTGGCCGGTATAGTTCGATCTGATCTTTTATCAAACAATATCAAATCTTATAGGACTATGAGTATTTAAACCAATGAAAAGACTGATGAGAACACGCAGCTGGATTTCGGGTACTTCTATATAATTGCGTATGTGAATACAAAGTAATAACAGTAGATATACAATAAATAGAATAGAATTTATTATTATTATTATTATTATTTATTATTTATTATTAGAATTAATTTATTGTATACTAAATATGTATATATAGATTATTAATTGCGCATCGAATTTTAATTTTTTTTCCAATTGTTTAAATTTTATTTTCATCATTAATATCTTATATTATTGTTTTTATGTCAATCTTTTTTATTACCTTTGTTGGTTTTTTTGTTTTTCTTTTCTTTGTTTTTTTATTCTTAAACAACTTGTTCTCAAATGTCAATAATCGTTTTAGCGCTTTCTTTTATTTTTCACTATTTTTCTTTGTAATTTCCAGAATCAAAAGAACCGAATACTTTTCACTGATAATACCATAATTTTGTTACAAGAATCAATATTAAAATCTGATTGTCGTAACTGTAAGAATATAATTTATATCTATGACGAAGTAAAATATATGTCTTTATGGGATTAACTATATGGTGGTCAAATTGTCTCAATTCTTTGTAAAAATATTTATTATGATATGGTTAGTTAAATTGATAAATTACTATTTCAATTATATTCATTTAAAGGCCTACATTAAAAAAAAGAAAGAATATTTTGATCACAAAAGAAAGAATAATGTTTTGATCACAAAAGAAAAGAAAAAAATTTATGGTTGTGAATGTTTACAATAAGAAAATAAATAGTAAGGAAGAATGACATTTTAGGGCAAAAAATGGAAGATATATAATAATTTTTGCATTTCTAAAAGGTTTATATTTCAAATAATGCAACGATTTGTATCGAAAAATTTTATATTTTCTCTCTAAATTATTCTTTAGAATGAGATTGTATTTTTTTTTATTGAAATTTTAAAAAAGTTTAGATCTCTCTAAATCTTTTTTTAATTTGTTTAAAAAAGAGTGAAATCTTATTCTAAAGAATCAAGAGTCTAAGTCTTATTATATTGTATAATTGCACTTAATAACAATGACATACGAATTTTTAAAAACTTAAAGGTCTTTTCAACAAGTGTTTTCTTTAGTTTTGAAACATAAAACTATTTTATAAAAATTCTTTATGAAACTGAAAGACGCTGTTCATTATAATAATAGTGCATAAATTTATTATCTTATATTAATTAATTAATATATAATAGATACTTATAATATCTCAATGTTACGCAGATAAAAGCTCTTAATAGATTTATTTTTCACTTGTAATTAAAGTGTAATCGATAAAAATTTTTTTATTTTTATTATACAAAATATTTAATTCTATTTAGACATATAAATATATAAGATGAGAAAGCAAAACAAAGAATTAAGATAATTACTTATTAGCAGTACAAAAATACTGTCGCAGGGTTTTTGGGTATTTTAACATTTAACTTAAATTAATTATAAAAGATAAATATAATAATGTATACAATATTAATAATAAAATAATAACTCACAAAATGTCGCGCTTTACATACTTTAAAAGTTCTAAAATTATTATAATATATAAAATGTTAAAATTATCGTATATATTCACATAAGTGTAAACACGTAGACTATACAAAATATTTAATTCTATTTAGACATATAAATATATAAGATGAGAAAGCAAAACAAAGAATTAAGATAATTACTTATTAGCAGTACAAAAATACTGTCGCAGGGTTTTTGGGTACAAAAAATATATTATTTTGTATGTCATTGTTGGAATAAAAGAAATTTATTCAGGAAATTCAGATTTTGATAGTTTCTATTAACAAAATTTTATCGCTATTAACGTTAATGCGCGATTTACGACGAATTCTATAAAGTATCTCTGTGTTGTGTGATTTTACCCTCTTCTCCCCGTTGTCTCGACTCGAGAACAAACCGTTTATGGTCGTCTGTCTGCCCGCCGGATTCTGTAATTTGTGGTGACAATTCCGTGTTCTGTCTCGTACACGATGCTCATAACGGGAATGTATGACGAGATCGGCGAGAACACGCGATACAAATCCGTGCTGAGTCGGTGTCTGGAAACGGCGATAACGATCTCGACAAAGTCATTTGATGTAACTTGTCAATTTTTCGCGACAGCTTGTCGCTGGAACGCAACGAATTGACGCCTGCTGCTGACACTAATTAATCCTATATTGTTAAACAGAATGTTACACTTAATAAAGTTATTTATTTATATATGATATAAAGTATATAGGTATTATATAAAAAGAATAGTTCTACAAAAATATCTAAAAGTTTGATCAGATACAAATCTGAAAATAATTTTGTTACGAACCATCAAAATAATTATGTAGTACACTTAAAACGGTTGCTATCAGAATGTAAAACTTTTTGCAGCATTGCCTATTATATTTAGGTATCCTACATTATTTTAATAATTCAACATATACATATATAACAATTTTCAGATTTAAACCTAGCTATAAATACTTCAACAAAATTGTTCTTTTTGTATGTATCAGTGCATAGGTAAATATATTTATAAAAAAGATTTGTGTAAATGTATGCATCATTTATATAGACACACATTTATATATATTTATAAAAATATAATGTTATAAATGTCGAGTATCGAGCCCTTTGTTTTCATGAAAACACAAAATCCTTTCTGGAGAAAATAATATTCACATATATTTACTAAACTTAATTCTTCTTAATATAGACTTAAAAAAATATAATACAGTAACAAGGAAACGTATTATGCATATATTTATCTTTATTATAATAATAAAAAAAACTATAGCACGTAAAGTAAAAGAAGAAGTTGGATATATGCCATGTGAGAGAGAAGCACCGAAAGGGTAAACAGAACAAAACATTTAGAAAAGAAATTTAAATATCTAAAGTAAAATGTTTTAACAATTAAATCCGATATGTTTAAAAATCGAAAAAATACAATTTGTGTGACGCATCACGTTAATTTTCTTACCTTGCTCCATCTTTCTCTTTTTTCTCTCTCTCTCTCTCCCTCCCTCTCTCTAAGTGTTATATTTATCGCCCAAGAGGTGATGTGCACGAAGCGACACACATATACGACTTTTGGCGCGCCCTGGTCATAGCCTCCCTCCACTTATTGAAATAGAGATGCAGCCAATCGAGTTCGCGTAGGCGGTGCAGCAGCGTCTGAGGGCGGTCGTGCTCAACCAACGAACGCGCGAATCGGTAGTAATGTAGTTGGTACTTTAGACCCGGTAACCGGTTGCACCAATTTTGTTCTGCTGATTTGGTGGTAAAGAGGCAGTCGCGTCAGTTCATTTGAGAAGTGTGGAAGCGTGCACGTGACTCCAATAGTACGGCCTAAACATTTTCCTGTCATCGAGGATCGACATTTAAATCAGAGGTAAAACGTCGATCCTCAGAAAATGTTCCTTCAAGATATGAATGTTCCTCCGTTTCCCTTGCAACTGCAGCTGCTAGGAGGATCACCAATCTTGACGCAGCCCGCACCGATCTTTCTACGAAACGTAGGTACGTGTACTTATATATATACTTACAAGTTCTCTTATTCTCAATAATTTTCAATGTCTTATAACCAAACATGCCGAGACATCGTATTATGTCAAGGTTAACGGTTTATGTTTACGTTTAATATTTTGAATTTTCAACCTAATGTGTATTAGACTGAAATTATATTTGTCGTACAAATTTTCAAGTGTATTAATTAGCTCTAAGAGAGCCTCTCGAATCTGAAGAAGTAACTCCTATAGACACTAGCTGAAATATTGTCCTATAAATTATATGGTTTTATTTGATTTCATACGATTTTAACAATTATAAATAATTTTCTTCAATGTGCATACGAATTTATTTGGTAAAATAAACAATTTTAGCTAACATTTCTCAATGATTTTTCGTGATTGCATATGTAATTATTGGATTATATGTATATACGAGGATTTCATACGTGGATTTTATAATGATTTCAGAGACACTCCTACGATTACATTAAAATTACCCCTTCGCTCGAATGTCTCGATCTTATAGCTAATCAACGGGCTTGAAAAAAATGCTTTTACACACACAGTGAGAAATGATAATGAAATCGACATCGAATTGATGTCGATTCGACGTCGAAATCATCAATTTGACGTCAAATTGACATCGATTCGACGTTGATTCCATTGTCATTTCTCACTGATATACACACACACACACACACACACACACACACACACACACACACACACACACACACACACACACAAACGCACGCACGCACGCACGCACGCACGCGCGCGCACATATATATATATATAATCATAAAATTAAAAATTCTAATTTTATAATAATACCGGTCTTATTCTCTCTCTGAAGTATAATATGTACATAAGGTGTTCCTAATTGTAACATGTAAAAAGTAAATTAAATGTGACATGTAAAAAGATCTATCTATAAAATTTTTTTGTGATATAATTAGCGATCAATTATAATCTCTTGTTTGATTTAGTCTTTCACTTTCATTTTCTTCTCATTTTTTCTTCAAAATTAATTGTTTATATTGTAGTTGAATTATTTTATTATCGAAAGAATTAAATTGTTTTTACTGAAAATTCTTGGCACGGCAATTAAATTATACATTTTTAGAAAGTTATAATAAATTATTATAATAAAATACATTGATATAATATATAAAAATGTTTATAAGATATAATTTGCGATTATAAAAAAATCTACTCAATTCAATCTTTTATCTTCACTTTCTCTTGATTTTTCCTTAACAAAATTAAATTATTATTTATCGCAATTATTATTTGTTGTTTTCAATTTAAAAGTCCTTGGCAAGATGATAAGTTATGAATGTTCAAGAAAGGAATTTATGGAGAAAATAATTTTCATGTAGTGTGGTAGTTGAATATTTCGTGACTAATGCGAATTTTGCGGAAATCTGAGACCAGCATCCCCGTTTTGCGGTGTTCTTGAAAGAGAAAGGTCGCTCTGAATCGATTTGCACTATAATGAGGAGACCGTGTTCTTCTCGGTTACTCTATATCGATGTCGATCGCCAAATATCCTGTTTAATGCGACACACATGGACACTGCGAACGCTTTGATTATTCCGTGAAAGATGAAAGGATACCGACTTTCGGTCAGGCAAATAATCGTTATCTACCTGTACCATGAATGGCTTTTTACTGCGGTTTACGGATGCCTGGATAATCGTGTCCATGCCTAATGCTACAAGTGCGGTCTGCAGTGGTCGACGATGCCGTTTGTATTATATAAAGGGTAGTCCCTGCTGCTCCGCTATTTATGTTACCTCACCCACGCTAATTTTTTCCTATTCCCTCATTGTCAAACAGCGTCGTCCTTTCAAAAGGAATACTGCCTGCGCGCTATTGGCAATTCGTATCGCGTAAGATAGTGGCAAACGGTAATCGTTATGTTAAATTGAATTCTAAAATTCTTAGTTTTAATGTTTGCAGTGGATATTTTATTATCACGTTCCCTTTTCTCTCCTTTTTTCTAGCCACTTTCCAGCAAAGATGTTTGAATACACAGGTAGCACAATAAATCATTATGTATACTTATATCTGTATTGTTTGTTAACAGCACACACGGTTAACATAATTTACTGTGTTAAGCTAACATTTATACATTTATCCATTTTGTAGTACGACAATCGTTTTCAATTTTGTAGAATAATAAAGAGAGACAAAAAGAGATTTTTCTGTCTTGCAACCAATCAATAAGCTAAATCTTTGTTATACGACACATAAAATATTAGGCTGCGAGAACTTTCTAACGAGCGACACTATGATTATTTCTTTAACATTGGTGAACAACAATAGGATGAAATGATGCATTGTGTGTTACACTGTCAATATGTTACACACAACTTGTGTTTTGTGTTGAAAAACTCCAACAAAAACTCCCTGTGGAGTTTTTCTTATTAGAACACATCCCTCACTTTAAATTTCTTGCAGTGAAATCAAAGGACTGAAAGCTCACTTTTTTTCGAATAAAATTTCATTTCTTTGCAGTGAAGATTCACTTTAAAACAGTGAAAATTGTCATTTTCTTTTAATGTACTACTATAATAACATCGCATTTTGTATATTTATTTTTATTAATTGACTAATTGATTATATTGTTAATTTTCAGATGAGAAGATGAATTCAAATGGATGGTTATGTCAACCAAACCCTCCATTGTTACACGGTGCCACTACAGAACTAGCTAATCGGTCGCTTTGGCAACAATTTCACAAGCACAACACAGAAATGATCATCACGAAAAGTGGTCGGTGAGTGAGTCATTTGTTGCTATTTCTTTCTTTTTCAAAACAGATAATGTCAAAGTTATACTATTTCGTATGCTATTTCTTATATTTTTGATATTATTTGTAAGTTCTTCGCTAAAAATAAATAAGATAATAATAGAAAAATAGTTCCAATTTAAATGTCGTAAATGAAATTAAACGATAAAATAACACGATGGTACATCTCTCGCGGCGCGAAATCATAACAATCCTTCAAATTCTTGTTTCCTCGGTCACATGATAGATAAAACTTGCAATTTAATATAATATAATAGATTTGGCTAATGAATCGTCAACAAAATCGTAATTGTAATTCGAGGTATGAAAATTCAGTCATAAAAGTATAATTATTCACGTTGCCACGCACGATTATATGACGCGTCTGCGTGACGTATGGTTTGAAGTCGTGGCGCCCGTGTCCTTACTTATTGGAGACAAGCAGGACGAGATACTTCCTTTGAGATCTCTTCTTTTCTTGGCGCCCGTGAGAGGTGCATCGAAGAGATGCCGACCACTCCCTCACCGTCTGTAACCGGAGGCCCAGTCAGGCGCCACGCCGGCGCTCTTGAATCCATCGCGTTGTGATACCTTTACAAAACAATGGATTCCACCGCGGAAATTTCGCAAAAAAGGAAAACGCAATACAAGAATCCTGTCCGTTATCGCCGATTTGCGGTGGTACGATGACTCAGGACATGACGGAATATACGGTCAAAAATTCTTTTCTGGAAACTTCTATTCTATAGAATACCAGATCTCGAGATTGGAAAAAGACATTCGTTGCGCCTTTTATTCCGAAAAAGGTTATTTTCTTTTTAAAAACTTTTATACAAGAATTTACATTTTTACATAGTCATCGAGTCCACCTTGTCTTTGCATTGTATTCATCTACCTACCTAACGATCACCTAAAGCTTTCTTTGACAAACACGTGATAATCATCAATCATTTTTAACAAGCTGTCGAAGCATTTTCCATTATAACATAGCATTTAACGCAGGTATTCTTAACACAGTGATTCCTGATGACTTTTAAATGCTTTTTTGTATCATTATAAATTCTTAGATATCGAATCCTAAACAATTTTATAAATTGCATTGTTTAGAATACATATAATAAAGAGTTATACTCTCCCCGAAAATTTGGTCGATAGGATGAGGATGTCCGGAAAAAGAACATTAAAGTTAAAAATGAAAGTAAAAAAGTAAGTGATTTCTACACTAATTTTGTTTTCTCTCATTATTTTAGTAGAATAAATTAATATAATTATTTTTTAATAAAAAAGTAATTATTATAATTAGTTTATTCAAAAAGATAGGCAAGATAAACTATTAGTACAATATTTAACTCAAGATTAAGAAGATGAAAATATACATATATTGCGATTACTAAGATTTATTAAGAATTGTAAAAAATATAATTTTTAGAATATTTCAAATTACGTTCAGTTTTTTAATCCAAATAAAATCATTAAAACTTTTTTTATATCTAATAATTGAGAATAGTATTTAGTTATGGTAGCGAAAATACCTAAGTGTATTTATAATCCATTAAATTTCGTCTTAATAATATTACCTGCACCTGTAAAATCAATAGCACAAAAAACGTAAGCAGTAAAACATAAGTATATATAAATCAATCAATTATAATTAAGCTGCAATAAAGTAATAATGTAAGAAATAGAAAATAAAAAATTATACTATTAACTTAAATGAATTAACACTTTTTATTTACAACTGATTTACATTATTGCTTTGCTGCTTGATTGCGATTGATTGATTTATTTACGTTTTTCTATATATCTGGTCTTGAGAAGTTACACGAACATTACAATATCTTTTTCTCTTTTAAATTATTAAATCTTTTGTGAATGATTTAGCGACATGTTTTTCCGAACGTTATGATGCGATGTTCCAAAATCTTTGATCGAACGAGATTCATTCTCGTTTAAGGGAGTTAGATCGTGGATATTTAATTTCAATATAAATTTTCTTCTTTCTGTGTTGCTTCTGAAATTTGGTGTGACGCATACTCCTACAATTTTCGATGTGCGATAGGATCGTTTCTTAACTAGACAAATAGGCAGACTGGGCGTTCCAAGTGACAACAACGCGATTAGTCTCACAGAAGGTGTTTGTCGCAAAAGGTGATGCGCCACAACACGATATGCCTTTGCGACTTACTTTATCACTCGTCTCGATCAGTAGGCATTATAGCCAGCTAAATACATGTTTCTTCTAAAAACGGAAAGTTCAGTACATTGTAACAGTTAAAGAACGTTTCTTTGTCACATCCCGTTATTTTCTTATCGACCAATGCTTTCGTCGAAAGCTATCGGATAATTTCTTCTGAGACTAGGGACTCGGGTCGATAAATAGTCACGATAAGTGTATAACGTAGATTTTTGCGTGGTTTTAAATAGATAATGCGAACGGACGTGATATCACGCATCAGGCTTTTATGTTATATCGGCATCGTGTGGGCGTAAAAACCGGAAAAGCGGAAGGAAGGAAGGAAAGAATAGATTTGTAGCTGCTTATGGACAGTCGTAACTTAGAAGCTGTTCATGTGACGATTAGTCACACATGACTTTCACACAACAAAGCGCTGACATTTGCGAAAATCACTCGCTTACTCTTCCTTCGACGTGTGACACAATGTGATAAATAATATTGGACATTTCCCGAAATTATACGTATTTAGTTTTAAGAATAGATTTTTGGAAAAATATATTGTGTAGAAATTTCTTTTATAATAAAAATATCATTGATACTAACGGATTTTACGATATGCGAAACTGACGTTTTTTTTTAGAATTAAGAATAGTTTTATTTGTATTATAGTTTATTCAGTTTATGATATTTCAGTATATAAAATTTATTAATATAGAATATTTAATTTATTAATTTATTATAAGTATTTTTTAATTTATTTTGTATTTTTTTTTTGCATATCTGTATCCAACAAAGTGAAGGATATTTCGTTGCATGTTATTTTGGGAAATCACATTTTCTAAAAAATCGCATTTCCTGCCGTTTCTTTTGCGTAAGACGGTCTAGTTTTGTAAGGTTATACGTGAGAGAATATCTCATTACGTGACCACCTAAAAAAGTTTTCGCTGGTCAACGCAGGGTGACCATCGATCGTGATTTTAACGAGCTGACGGATTTCAAGCGAATGATCGACGCTCTAGGAAGAAAAAAACATTGAGACAACACATGTTCATCTTCACCAGGGCGGTCTAGCCACGACAATAGCGACGAAGGTGTCTGTCGTGCGTGTGTCTTCCGGCGTGTCGCTATTTGTATAGTTCACCACGTGCCCACCACGTGCTTCTTTTTTCTTTTCCTCTCTCGCACTAGATCTTGCGAGCTCCATACAATTGCATAATTTATATTCTGCAGCACCATATTTGTCCGCATAAACAGCTTCCGCGCTTTGGAATATATTAATTTTTTCCCTTCATTTAGTACCGTTTTAGCTTCTGTGCGATACACCTTACTTTTGATGGTCCCTTGGTCACGCTCAACACTGAATGCGATAATGAAGTAGAACGAAAAAGTGCAGTGTAACACAAAAGTGACAATTGGCAGGTAGGTCTTCTTCGACCGTGTGAAAGGCTAAAGTAAAACTGATTAAAGAAACTCCGTTGAAAATAAATGATATATTTCTGACATTGGGTTTTCTTCAGGGAATTTCTTTGATTCCTGCTTTTAAAAATCTGTCCTATTGTGTGTATAATCCTTGAACCTTTCTCAGAAATATTATTCAAATGACAAAAGCAGTTTTTCTTTCTTCCAAGAAATTATTTCGAATTGTCATAAATTAAAAAAATGTTATAAAAATTGTTCATTGTTTATCGGAGGAAACAAACAGAACATTTCTTTTAAATATTACAAAAAGTTTATATAATCCTCGAACCTTTTTCAAAAATATTTCTCAAGTGAGAGAAACGCAATTTATCTTTCTTCTAAAAAAATTAGTAAAAGTTGTCATAAATTAAAGAAATGTTAAGAATTGTGATTGTTTATTAAAAAAAATAAAGTTTTCTTATAAATGGGATGATAAACCATTGTCATTCTTATACTCTTATCAGAAATCTTCTTAAGGAAAAGAATGTCATTTTAAAAATATCTTTTACGTCTTCCTTTCTTTTAGAAAATTATTTTAAATTGTCACCTTATAAAATTAAATAATTATGATTGTTCATTAAAGAAAAAATAGGTCTTAACAAAATAACGGATGGATTCAATTAAACTTTAAGACAATAGTTTAATAAAATAATAAGTAATGAATTCAATGAAATGTGAAAAGTGTGTGTGTCGAGAAATAGAAGTATAATACATCACGGTGTTTTGATCGAGCCAAACTTTCGTTTTTACCTTAATGTGTATGATACGTAGATGTGTTTATTGTTTTTACGTATTTACCGTTTTTACTTATCGCGGGGATACATATCGAGGGTATGTCGAACAGGCAAGTGTGCTTCTCACACGAAGAAATAGTCCACGCGACTTTCGAGTGGCGCTAATCGGCGGGATCGAACATGGGCCAGAGCTCGTGCCACCGAGACACGGCGTTATATCACACCATTACAGACACGTTATCTCGTTGCTGCGTAATTACAAGAAGCTCCTTAAACCAGATGCGTCTATCACACGAGCACTCGACAGCCGTCGCAAGTCGACGATACGAACGACCTTTATGAATCCGTTTTCGAGAAAGAACGATGAGTAGTTGATTTTCTGCCTAATAAGTGTAACATAAATTATATACATGTAATTTTATAATTTGTTAAGTCGCTAAATACACGCGATGGTACCAGTTTTATTTAAATAAACCTAAATAAACCATAGGAAAGTCATCAAAATTTGTCTTAAAGAAATCGAAACAGCTTTTGTCTGATAATAATATATAGTTAGTGTCATTTTATTCAATTATTTATATTACAGTTTATTTTTGAATATTTTATCAGGACATAATTATTGAAAAAAAAATTGAAAATTTTCTGAATTTTATCTTTTACACAAGAAATATATAATCTATTAAAATACATGTAATTAAAAAGTGGAAATGGAGTCAATTTAATAGCCGCTGAGTATTTCTAGTATAAAATTTTTCCACGACTTCAGATAAATAAAATTACAATCGTATTCAATAATTTACGAACTGTAAGATTTTACGTGTATTTTATTTTATTACGCTTTTTAGACAAAAAAATTTGACCTATTTTATTCATCATTTTTTTCATCCAGCAGCGATTATATTATTATAATTTAATTTTGAATAATAATAATAACAATAATAATGAAAAAGAAAAGAATTTAACGAAAAGTATATAAGATTTTGGAGGATCATGTCATGAATTTAAACGTAAAAGCGAGCCTCTTCTAACGGTGTATTTCGAAAGAATGGAGAAAGAGATAATATACCGTTTCTTCGATAATTTAACGATATACTCAGAAATATTTTGCTACATTATTGAGAAGTCTTGGACTTCTCCAGCTTTTAAACCGAAGAAACTTGCGATTTTTATACCTGCAGCTAATGTATTGACAATGAGAAAACTCCGAGCGGAGACCAAGAGTGCGTAAAAACCAAATCCTTTGTCAGTTTGCCGACTTGATACGAAGGCAAACGCGAAATGTACCGTAGACGAAAACCGCAATTAGGCAAGCAGACGGGACTGCGATTTGACCTACCGTAGAAATATTTGCGTAGCCGGAAAAACTAGTTGACGAGGGTGAATGTATGGTAGTCCTGCGTAGTAATAGGAGCGGACTTAACGCCACGTCGCCCTCTCGGCGACGAGTGGGCGTCGCCGGGTACGTTAATGACTAACGAAACCCTCGAAAGTCTTTGTTCTTCGAGAAAGAGAGAAATACTACCTGTACGAAATGAGATCCTTTTCTCAACAGTTCCACGAGGTAAAAGTTATCTACAAAGTGATTCTGCATATACATATATCACTTTTATCACGAGCATTTTCTTCTAATTGTTAAATAACACTAAGAGTGTTAAATAACATTAATTTAAAACTAACAATTATTTTGAATCACACAGGCAAGGAGTTTCTTATTATCAGATTTTTGAAAATGACGTTCGAGGACACAGTCGATGGAGGAGGGTTAATACCTTCCCTTTTAACTATGATATACATATGAAAATTTTAAATATAGAATTTTACTAACAATATTTATAATTAGTAATTATAAGTTATTAACGCTTACTTCATTTAATGTTAAAATGTTATTAATTTCAACAAGGAAATGTTCACTAATTTGCAAGATTATAGCTATAAGTGACTAATAATATAATTCTCAGTTGTTTTTTTCTTTATTTTCGTATTGTGGGAGAGGAAGGAAAGCTGCAGGGATTAAATTACGGTGCGGGTCTAATGACTATATACTATTGTGTTTTTGGGGCTGATTTGCAATAATTTCGTAGTCAGCGATCGTTTTTCATTTTAAACGCATCATTATATATAGCTAAAAAAAATACTATCTTCTTTTTTTTTAATTTTTTAATTTTTTGGGGAAAAAATACCTCGGAGAATTAATTGTTTCCTAATGAGGGATTATTTTCACTAGATTTTTTTTAAATAACTTTGTGGTTTAGGGGAATTTTAAAACTTAAAGTTTATTTATAGTTGACTCAATATTGTCTAATAATAATGAGGTTTTTTTTTTTAAATCTTTTACAGACGTATGTTCCCATCCGTCCAAATAAATATAGATGGTTTACAAAAGCGTGAAGTTTATCATGTCTTCTTGGAGATCGTACTAGCTTCTAATCAACGACACAAGTACTGCGGCTATGAGAACGGAAACAAAAATGTCAATGTAGGTGGCTGGAGCTTCGCGGGACCAGCAGATCCGCAGCATCACTTAAACCGTAGGCTGTATCAGCATCCGGACAGTCCCGCGACTGGCGACCACTGGATGGACAATTCGATCAATTTTAATAAATTAAAACTAACGAACAACGTCAATGATAAGAGTAACGTAAGTAATATACGCTAATTAAATTATATTGTATTTATTGTAATTAACTAATTAGTATACAATATATACATAGAACAGTTCAATAAAAACTACCATTTGATACCATAAAATATCACACGAAAAATAATAGAGAAATATAGTATGTTACAAACGAAGAATAAGACAATTGCTTGGAGGAAACAAAAGGATTAGAGGTCGTCGTTCGTTTATCTGGTTCTTCGATGTTTTGACAGCTTTTTAAAAATCCTTAATCTTCACATCTTATCTCTGCTGTGTCTTGTGTCGTGTGTTTCTTTTCTCATTTGTGATGCATGGAAAAGTATCGTTGTACCGTTTATCTAATTGAATTTCGATTCATCTATTTTTAAGTGTCAACTCAATTTTATACCGGTTTCTATCAAATTTAATCTCGATTCAATATATATCTTTAAAAATAATTATGTAGATAATAACTAAAAAAAAATGATAGATAACAGTAGACAAAAAATGATATACAGTATAATCTATGTCCCTTGTGGAATAATCAATATAACGCACTTAGTTTTTTCTAATATTAAAAACGTGATGACTCTCTCTCTCTCTCTATCTCTCTCTCTCCCCCCCCTCTCGTTCTGATAAATAAGTTTTAATTTATTATTAAAATATACATAGCTATACGCGCGTGCGTATTGGTTTGCTATACACGTAAGAGTATTTTCGAAGGCTTCTGATATTTTCGGCTACTCTCTGATGAAATTCGCTTGAAAGCGAAAGCATCTTGTGGTTGAGGATTAAAGAAATTTGTGAGAAAAAAAAGATCGGCGATGCATTTTCCGAAGGAGATTTAAGCTACTCAAGATGGTCCAGCACATCGACGACGTCCGTGAGGAACGCAGATTAACACGCTCCACAACACCCTGTAATCGATATACCTCTCTTTCCTGCTGGGACTGAACGAGAGTGAGTTTGTTTACGAGCCGACAGAGTTCCTAGCTGCCGCCATCGCCGTTGGTGTTAAAAGACACCGCTTTACGGTTCTCTTCTGCCTTTGTCGACTGCAAAAAGGACCCGCAGAAGAGCACTTTTACCCCTCGTTATTGTCCATTAGTGCCGATTCATGCATGAAAAGCGTCATGATAATCCACAAAGGTCCGCGGCTAGACAGCGGCGACAAACAAGAGATTCGCATTGTTGCGCGTTTATCAATTTCGTCACCTTTCCCTTCAACTAAGAAACGAGCGAGATCAGATCTGGTTTATATAAGAAGATCTATTTAATTCCTTTAATCTATCTAGTCTAAAGCATCTAATCAGAAAAGATTATGAAGGCAATCAGAAAGTAATATAAAGAATTATTAGGAAAGTGATTACGTTCTAATATATAGAAAGAAACATCAAGATTTTTAATTATAAGCGATTTTGAATTGTAGAATTTTAGCAAAAAATTTTCACTAATCTCTGTTTTAGCGTGAGATTTAACGAAACTTTGCTTCTTTGCCCATTTCAAACAGGATTCATTTTATATTACTATCGAAATATGTATAACATTAAAAATTAAAATATAATTAACACATTAATATTTGTATTAAATATTCAACAAGCAGCAATATCACTAAACAATTTTTTTTTTAAATATATTGTATAAATTAGAAGAAAAATAGATAAGTTAAGATTTTTAGTATATAAAACTTATTGTCGCCTTATTGTTTTATTGTGTCTTTAATGTTACGCCTATTTTGATAGTAAAACTTTGTGTGAAATATAAATTAATATTCCACTTGAAATCGGCCATAATGACTACCAGATCGCGTATTGAAGTGATGCATCTTGCTCTAGATTCATACGAGAGATTTTCGGTGGCGCGGAGACATGTGATTCCGAGAAGGTTGCAGGGCTTAGTCTGGTTTTCGGGAATCGCGTCTGTGTCTACCGTCGGCCTCTTTAGTGAGGCGCCAACTTATCTCGAAAAAGCGGCGCCCCTTTTACCCGATTCCTCAAACTAATTACGAATTTAATAAAATTCCCGGCGCTTCGTCCTACTCTTTCCGCTTCTCCACCCCCATCCGCAACTAACAGAAAGAGTCTCTTCTTTCGTGCTTCTCTTTCTTCTCTCCTTCGGGATCGTCTTTCGCGATGCAGATACTGTGTAACGGCGATTCTTTTTTCTCACATTTAACTCAAAAAACAAGAATTTATAAAGAGTAAAATTCATTTATAAATGTTTTTCATGGTATTCGCTCATGGTATGTTTCATGTATTTTCAGTTTATAATACTTTTTTATTAATGAAAAATCGTATCGTTCAAATAAAACATGACATATGTGAAAAATATCTTATAAAATATTAATTATTAATAATTTACAATGATAGTTTAGTAATTAATTTAACGATGATTTAATAAATTTCTAAAATTGCTACTTTTAACTTTAACTACGTATGATAGAAAATCGCTTTAATTTTTTAGTTATCTATTTTTCTTTAAAGTTACAATAATTTAAGAAAAAAATTGTTATTACAGGTAATATTAACTTCAATGCACAAGTACGTCCCTAAAATTTGGATAATCCGTTGCGCCAATGCGACGAGTTACAGTGAGCTTTTCTCTCATCCAGCCGCGTCGTTCATTTTTAAGGAAACGGAATTTATTGCAGTAACAGCATATCAAGTAAGTATTATAAAATAAAATTTATAAATCAAGTGTTTAATTATAAACTGAAACATTTACATTTTAATAACTGTATAATTTAATCTTTTGCATTCTATGTCGAGTTGGAATGCGTTGTAGTAATTCTTAATGTAATTCTTCAAACATTTGAATTTATGCAATTATAATGGATATAAATAATTTTTTTTTTAGATTTTATAAATTACTTTAGTAATACAAATTCTTTGATTTGTATTAAACCAGTCTGTTACAATTGAATTGAAAATCAAATACTTGATCTTTATTTAATTGCGGGAAATAGAAAACGTAGACATTCGCGCGACCGTGAATGATTAAGACTATGAAGTTACATACTTTAATTATCTTCTCATTACGTATTTGAATAATATATACTTATCTTTATTCTTTTTTTCTTTCTTTATTAATTATTTTATTATATACTTTATTACTTTTTGACACCTCTAAAAATTGTCTTTAGAACGTACAGTATTTAACCGTAATATATGTTTCTTCGTGTCTAATTATGTCTAACAGTAGCGTTTACGATCTTTTTACAGAACGAGAACATCACGAAACTGAAGATTGACAACAACCCATTTGCAAAAGGTTTTCGCGAAACGGGACAGTCAAGGTTCAAGCGCAAATATCAGCAGACCGATCAGCATGAGTCCCAATTGAGTTCCATTCACACAGACGATGGGAAAGGCAGCTCTCCTTTCTCCGATTCTGATTCGAATCATATTTTGAGTGAAGGATGTTGTCCGATGGGTGGTGTGCAGCGTTTAAAAGAAGACGTACCGATATGTCCACGACGTATTAATGGAAGTGATAGGGACGGAAGTAATGACGCACGCAATGATGCTAGATCAATCGCCGCGAACCCACTCGAACCGACCATCGCGAGCCCAAGAGTAGCATTGAATGTCGAAAACGAGATGGTGCATTTTCACAGGCCCTGGTTGAACCCACCACTACGTAGTCAAACGATATCGCCGTTGCACTATAATCGACCTCTGCAATATCAATACGGTAATACATGGTATATGGACAATGTACAAAACTATATGACACTTCATGACTCCCGTCAGTTCCAGTTCAGTAATTGTTACTGTCGTTATATAGTAAATATGTTCGGAGAACACACTATCAACACTCTTAGGTCATTCTGTCCTTGTACGATTACTAAATGATAACGAAAATGACATAACAGCGCAGATAGTGCATTCCTCAAATACAGTTATGGCTGTGTCACATGCGAACAAACTCTGTTTTTGTTTATCTCGCAATTTTGTTGCAATAAATATTTTATAATACGGAGTAATACGTGCGAATAATTAATTAAGACTGAAGATTTGTCATTCCAAACGGATAAATAATATTGAAATAATACACACACGTATGCAAGGTATCACGAATTCGCATCACCTATTTAAAAACGAAATTTTTATTTAAAAATTCCAAAATTTTGATAAATAATAAATCGATTATAACGCTATTAATGATATATCTATTAATGATATTTTTGTTTTCCTTTGGTTTCGAATGAAAATAGACAATTCAGAATAGAAACGATTTTTTTTTTAAATAAAATATGGTATTTATTACAGTATTTGTTACAGAATATGTAACAAAAATGTACACCCACGGTAATCGATTACCGTGGGTGTACTATGTTCTATTTTCTTCCTTATTTTCGATGCGTTGTTGTCCATGTTATTTTCATTAGTGCGTCATTAGGCTTATCGCCCTTGTAGAAAAGTACTACTGAGCACTAGGAGTATTTTGAGGCACTACTGTACTACAGCACTACTCAGCACTACTGTACTACTACACCAGTACAGTAGTGCTGTAGCAGTACAGTAGTGCTGAGTAGTGCTGTACTACTACAGCACTACTGTACTACTACAGCACTACTGCGCTGGTGTAGTAGTACAGTAGTGCCTCAAAATACTCCTAGTGCTCAGTAGTACTTTTCTACAAGGGCGGTGACTCTTCCGATAAATGCTTCACACCATTTACCTATCTGACAACATCTTCCACTTAAAATATGATTTGATTCGGAATCGGAGAAAGAAACACTGCTTTTCTCATTATTCGCGTGATTACAAACAATCGATTTCCAGTCTGAATAGAGCTTATTTTCATTCAGAAAGAAAATAAAAATATCATTTTTTCGTTAGCGAATATAAAGCGTTATACCGATTTACTTAAAATAAAATGAAAATTTTGGCGTTTTTAATAAAAAATCTTTGTTTCTCTAGAGCATCTAAATTTATATGTATATATATACATATATATACATATATTATATATCATTATATTTTTATACTGTTATATTTATTATTTGCATAATTACTTGCACGTCTTATTTTTTATTCATATAATGTGTAGTACATACATATGCATATATAAATCATATACGCTCTCTGAAAGGAAAGATTGGCTGCTGCAGTCAATTAGATGATAAAAACATAGCACACATTAAACTATGGCACTCTTTAATTGGCTACTATGATCAGTTTTTTGTTGCAACCAATTTTTGGTTGTGCTAATTCATTCGCAATGTCAGTATAGAATTTTCAGACTAACCCAATCAAAAATTGGCTGTTGCAACCAATTAAAAATGCTACGTCATATTCAGCTAATTTTTTTCTTTCAGTGTATGTATAAATGTTTCTAAACCTTTAAAATGGCTTAAAATTAATATAAAATTTAATATAGCATGACAATCATTTTTATACCATATACTTCTCATAAAATTTATAATATATATGTATATAAGTATAGATATATAATAATTTTAATGAGACTTAAGGATAATTAAGATGCTGATTAAGCTATATTGTAAAGATCCATAAACGTTTCTACGTGATTATCCACCAAAGATTGTTACATTTTTTCCTAAATGGTTTTAATAATATGAGTTGAAACTCATTTTACAATTTGAAGATTTCACATTTGAAGTGAAAAAAATTTAATGTGAGTTTGTAGCGATAAAATGCGTACGCTAAGTATATCTACACATTACTATTCCTACATGTTGTTAAAAGATTAAAAAGGAAGATTTTTTAAGTGATTTTGTTTTAAGTGAGCAGAATATGACATCTTTTTTTAAATATATACACAAAACATTGACAAAATATTAAAAAGTAAAAATTTAAAATCAAGAAGTTTGTAATTCACAATTATGAATAAAGTATAAAAGTTGAAATTAAATCTAAAATTTTATATATAAAATTGTCGAACGGAATATGAATGTTCGTTTTTATATGTTTTATAAATCTTTGATATGATTGTCACAAATATATTGTAATAAAACAAATATATTTCGATGTGAAACTTTACGGAATTACAAAATAAATGCAATGGCTATAAGTGGCATTTTTGTCGCATTTAACTTTACAATCGTACTTATACCTATAAAGTGTCAGCAAGGTCAAACATTTACAAATGTTATTATAATTGATCTTATCCGAAACGAGGTTTCAAATCGAAGTCTCTCAAGAGGAATTTGCCGTTTTATTGCAGAACAAAGTAATTTTTCTAATTATATTTAATAATATACAATGAAAATGGAAGATAAAGAAAGACAGAATTTCTGGCTGTTGCATAATTACTCTATCGTCGTATTTTATTTTTCTCAGTTACATTTGCTACAATATTTATATATAGGATATCTGGTAAAGACCGTAACAACTAATAAGATGAGAGACAAACTCTTATAATCAATTCTGGGATCAATCTTAAAATCAATCTTAAAGTATCTTAAGTATAAAGATAAACCTACACGGTTAAAAATATCTACATTAAATTTCATAATTTCACAGAAGCAAATTTCAAGCAGGTACATTAAAATCTTTCAATGTTGTCACAATGAGCATGAAATTACAAATAACTTAAAAATATATACATTAAATTTCATGTAAAGTAACGGAAGCAAATTTCAAGCAGGTACATTAAAATCGTTCAATGTTGTCAATGATCGAGCATAAAATTATAAGTAACTTAGATTTAACAATTTTAATGTATCTGCTTGAAATTTGCTTCCGTTACATTTACATGAAATTTCATGTCTTTTTTAACAGTGTAGATTTAACGATTTCAATGTACCTCTCTGCTTGAAATTTGCTTCCGTTACATTTACATGAAATTTCATGTCTTTTTTAACAGTGTAGATTTCATGTTATTTAAATATAGTAACGAATTTTATATTAAATTACATTAACTGTGTGTGATAAATCAAGATAAATGATGTTTCTTCACGTCTCTATAGAAAGCCTAAAATCGGGATGTCTCGCAAAATTCAAAACGATTCGTTACTCCCATCAGGTAGATTTCTAAGATTATTTTGAGACGAAAACCCTGTAATACCTGCAAAATGTCAAGATTATAATTCTTTTTGAATTATAAGCATTTCAAGTTAGTGAATCATATTGTCTATAATTTGCGCGTTTAGATGTGGTTGGCACTTTGCTTTGTACCACATTGTATTAGGATTTTCATCTTGATGTAATCTGAAGAATCTACCCTTAAGTTATTACAATCTTTACCGGACACCATATATCATACATCATCTACAAAAACGTAACAAATTTCAAAAATGCAAATTGCCAATGATTGCATATATTTGTTTTTTAAATATGCTTATATATATAATATATTATTTATACATATAAATATATATAGTATAAATACATATATAATATATATATGACTTGCATACATATATTTTATATTTTATATTACATATATAAGATGTTGTGTAATATAATATATGTACAATGTAAAAAATATATATAATTTATGCAAGTGTGCGTGCTTGTACACATCTGAATATATGTATATATATATATATAGAGGTGTGTATACTTGTGATACAATGTTAGGTTTAATATATATGTATGTATACTATAGATAAAAATGAATGGACAGTGAATGCGAATCTTAAGGTTTGTATTCATTGTTTATTTTTCTCGGTCTGCACTGTTGTATGTAACTGAATTTGATATTTACTGCATCAAGGAATATCTGATATCTCATATAGAATACAAAGACTATATTGCAAATTAAAAAAGAGGATGAAAACAAAAAGGTAAAATAAAATTTTTTATTTTCGCAGTAATTCACTCTATATAGATTGTTTAATTGCAGCTACAGATTCTTCAACTTTTTATTGCATCCTTTGCTACATTTTGATGATAAAGGTACACAAAAAAATATGCAATAAGACATAAGCAGTTAATCTGTCAATCACAGTAGAGTGTATAAATTGCAATAATTTAAGCAATAGCAATAAAAATGTTGATTTGCTAACTGTTTATGTGTTATATCTTATTGCTTACAGAAATTTGTATGCAAGAGTTCTAACGTAAAAATAAAAACATGCTTCGAACTTCAGCTGCAATCATATATATGTTTACTATTTGTTGAGTGCTTTCATATAGTGATACAAGTCGATACAAGCATCATTTTATCTTTCTTGACATTCCGTGAGTAATAATAAAATAGAACAATTGTGTCGATTTGAATTATAAAATAGAAAACACCTACAGACAACATATCTCGTCTCATTATATTATATAATATTACCATTGTACAATTAATTACCAAAGAGATATTTCCTGATGACACAATTAGACATGATAATCTTTAATGATATTACAACACGCTATACAACACATTTCAATACAATATGTTTATATCCAAAGAATTTTAGTCTTATATATAACACAAACGATCGAGTGCCTTGTCTGTCGTTCGATTAGTAAAAAATTTTATAAATTAAGTATTTTTATACATATATGCATAAAGATTTTTTATCGTGTATTTTTATACAACTTTTAACAAGATTAATACAATACAAAACACATACAGAGCAAAATAGAGTTTTTAGGAAAAAAAAAGATGAGAAACAAAATATCATATGTACAATCTCTGTTTGTAGCGAACGCATTCAATAGTCGCGATTAAATTGTACGCAACGTTTGCTTATAGAAGCATGCATGAATTTTTAAAGAATCGTATATGCGGCTCTTTAAAGATACGCACTCAAACATTATTTAAGATATCGTATATCTTGAATAATGCTCGACGTTTTTACTTATTGATATAATTTTTATATGCAAAATGTCACTTATATTATTAATACCATTAAATAAAAAAAAGAATGAATTATACATATTCTTGTATTCACATTTAAAAACATAAAACATCTTCCTTATCATCAATTCCACTTTAATATATATGTATAAGTAAATGATAACGACAAAATATATTAAATAAAATAATTAATGATAACTTTTACTTGTACATTTGTGTCGTTCACAAACTCGATTATATTTTACACAATTATTTTTAGATAATTGTACTTAACATATCACTGCTTCCTTGAATATTTTACGAAACTTTTTTTCCTAACATTATATACATACATACATCTTACCTGTTTCTTCCATATAGATTAACTTTAGTCTCGGTTTAACTTTACTTACCTTTTATCTCTTTTTCTAAAAATTAGAAAAAGATAAAGAGTAAATTAGATTGAGTTTGAAGTTTATAGTTACATTAAAAACGTTTTTAAATAATCATATTTAACATATTATCTTTTCGTCGTTTTACATTTTTACATTTTACAGAATTACTTATTGTTAAGATTTAACGCGTATGTCTCTGCTTTATTTTAATTTATGCCCATTTTTGTTACGGAAAGAAGGATTTTACTAAAATATCTAGAAGTTTAGTTAAATACAAATCTAAAAACAATTTTATTGAATTATCGAAATAAATTATGTAAAACACTCAAATTGATGACTGTGCGTTTTTGCAGTATTGTTCATCATATTTGAGATATCTACGCAATTATTTTAATGGTCCATCATAATTATTTTAAAATCTAGTTAAAAATGTTTAGATACTTCAGTAAAATCATTCTTTTCGATAGACCAATGCAGAAACTTAATCTCAGAGAAATGACTCACTGAAATCCATGCTGACTACATTTAGTTGAAATGCACTGAGAAACATTTCTTGAAAATAAATGAACCAGAAGATTCTGAATATATAATATCAATCAGAATTCTCGTTATCCCAACTAGAATTTTACGTATAATACAATTATCCAATTATAATACAATTATATAGAAGCCGGGACAAAACGCCAACATTACGTGATATTCTTCGCAATATATTAGATTGATTTAAAGATTTTAATGAAAATTAGCTCATTGCCCTTATTTCATTATATTAGTAGTTGAATACTTATTGAGCCTTATCATAAATATTTCAATTATATAGTATAATACAATTATATAAGTGTAATACAATTAACCAAAAAATTTCCTTTTAAAAAAAGTTTCCCTTTTATTATCAAGTCTCTTCGTAAGATGACCTCCCACGCCTGTTGCGTCGCTCTTGAAGCACGCTATCTGCGGTACGAGAGTGCAAGATGTCAGGTAATGTGTCGCGCCTGTTTGTCGCCTATCCGTCGGCTCCCTGATTCTTGAGACACTTTTATACGAACCAGCAGGGCGCCAGACCGAGACAAGCTACTCGACATTGTCTCGATTGGCCGAAACACAAAATCCCGAGTACTTGAACGAATCAGAAATTGAGAGAAAAAGAGAAGAGGAGATTTTACAGAAAAACTGAAAAGTGGACATAGCAGAGTGATGAATCAGCACACTTTTCGCCGATGCGCTTTGTAGTAAATAGTCGGTTCAACAGATGAAAAAATTAAAGCAATGCAAAGTCATCGTCTGTTCTATTCTTTTGGGATGGTCAGGTTGAGCTCACAATGAGCAGACATCAGACATGTCTGAATTTTTTAAAAGTTAGATGTAATATTTGGAAATTGTTTGAAACTAAAAGATAACAGAGTATTATAGAAATAAGAATTATATATTTTTTTTATTGCTTTAGAATATTATGTTTAAATGATCTGTGAAGTTATATGCATAACATGCAAACTTTATAAGTTGATAAACGATTTTTATGAGTTGTTTTGATAATGGAAGTAACTCTCATAATTTCAGAAAAGATTTTATTATTCAGCGATTATATTAGTTTTTATATACTTATATATAAAATTAAAAAATCTTAATAGACTATGTTTAATAACAGTATACCTTCAATAAATAGTGTATATTACAACGTACATTTTAAAAATATCGTCTAAAATATGTTCAAATCATGAAAGCGAGTTTCCTCGCACACAGTAGTTCTTCTAATTAATTAGATCCTTAACTTTGACGGGATAAACACGTGAAATTTATTCAAACTCACAAAAGACAATGAAAGGAGAACTAATATATAGACTGAAAAACGACACTCGATTGCTTATTATTATTGAGACATTCGCTAGCAGTTAGTGGAGCACGTAACGGTATGGATCACCTTATGGGGTTTAAACGCGGAATTTTTCCGGAACGTGTCGCATTGCAGTGCGAATACATAATACATAGTCTTGCATTCCCATGGCGTCTTCTTCCGAAGACCTAATGCGTATAAACATAAGCAATTAAGCATACAATACGCAACTAAATACATGCGGAACAACAATATATTTCCTAAATTGCACAAGATAGATTTTAATTATATAATTTGTATCTAATTTTTTTCTTTAATAAAATTTAAAATTCTAACAAATTCGATTCAATCATTTCTATTCGCAAGTGTAGAAATCGTTCCTGTGCATTTTGCCATTAGTGATTGAATCTCCATAAACTTTATAAATGTAATGTAAAGACATTTTTTCTTTGAGAAAATAACATAAAGCTAGCATATATCCCTATGAATTTAACAATACCTAACAATTTAATTTAATTTACTTGTCAGCGAAATTAAATGCGATTAACAACGTAATAACAATAATCCTTAATTAACATGTCGGAGTCGTGTTAAATCGAGTTCGAAATTTAAACGCCTAGTCGATTTAGAGTGCTTTGTTGAGTTGTCATACTTGACGCTATTTTCTTCTATCTCCTCGTTGGTTATTTCCGGAATACAACATCTTTCGTCGCCATAACCGTTCCAGTACTTCGGGCAGTACGGCGGATCGGAGTGAGTGAAGCAGAAGGATCCTCTGGCGTAGGACGGGGTATGCTGACCCATTGTCACGTACTCTCCCGCCCTGGCGGCAATTCTTGGACCCGACGGACACATCCTGGAACAGGACTCTGCGATCAGGTTGGCATCGTCCACGCTTTGTGCCATGAAACAGACTGCCCACACGTGGCTACACAGTTGATACATCTCCCGATCCTCGCAAAAAGGTTGCACCTTGCCGCCGTTTACGCAAAAATCTACGTGACCGATGCGACCGATTTCGCCGTAGTATCCGGCGTTGGTGTGTATCACCTCGACAAAATCAGCGTCACCGGAATCCAAACGGTTCACTAAGCCTGGTCGGAGAAGAGGTCGAGCGGGATCCAAGCCGATTATCCTGTGAACAACAAGCTTTTAACACATTGTCTAACTAGAATTATGTATGTGATCCTATCGTGTACAATAAAATTCTTATATCATAATCATATATCTACCGGCAAAAATATCCAGAATAATGATAATATCGAATCGATTTCTTTTGTAATAATTTTGTAATAATTTCTTTTTTTTTTTAATTTGTAATAAATTATTTAGTATTTCACCTTTGCTCTGTGTTATCTTATTGAATGGTAAAATTGTCAAATTATGTCAGAAACATGGAGAGAGGTGAATTATTTAAATTACTTTAAACGACCTACGTATTTATTTACAAAATATATATTGACCTGTGCATTCTGAAGAGAAGATAATTTGCCATAATGCCGCAAATGTGAGCGCCCAAGGAATGTCCAACGCAGGTGGTTTTGGCAATTAGTAGGCCAAGATTTCTCAAGGTCGTTAAAGTACTGGCGAGACATTTCGCTACTGGTCGCATATTTGCCACCGCAGCTGGATAACACGGTCGAGCGCATAATGCACCCCAATCGACCAGAAATACGTTATAGTTGCCGTTCTTCAGGTAAGCGTCACGTAAAATTGTCATCGGTAATGTATCGTCACCACCTGTGGATTGAAATATGAAGATTACCTCGAGACATTGTGCCATACACACAGATGAATGACGCTTAAAGCTATTTAAGGATCTATGTATTGTATTGTGTCTAAATAAAAAAAAATATAAAATATTTCATAGATATTTTTATATTATTTCGTACGAATATTTATATAAAATCTAAATATTTAAAAAAAAATTATATAAAATATATTCTCTTATTGATTTAAAAGTTTTTCATTTTTTTAATTCGTCTAGATTATATTTGATGTAAATTTAATAAAAATAAAGTACGTAACATTAAGATTTAAATAAAATTACACACACACACCACACACACACACACATATATATATATATATGTATATTAATAGAAACAATAAGTATTTGTAAAAGTTCATTTGAATTAAAACTTAAAAGATATTGTTTTAAACTGCAGCAAAATATAATTATTTTACTTTATAAGCCAAATCATTTATTGTTTGGTTTTTTGCATGCACTGTTAAAAATATATACATTAAATTTCATGTAAAGTAACGGAAGCAAATTTC